AGAGCGGGGCGCGAGGGGGTGCAGGCAGCCAGGCAAGGCCCAAGGGAGCAAGGTGAGGAGCTACACTGGGTTGGCTCTGACAGGCCAGCGTGGCCTTCCCACCTCCCACCCCCCCAGAACCTTGGAGGCCTCAGCCTTGCCACAGCCTCTCTTCCAGCAGTGGTTTAGGGGGACTGAAATCAGGTGGGTCAGCAGCCTGATGTGGCCGGAGAATGGGTGGTGGGAGGTAGAGGACCGCTAGCCTGGGTAAGCTTTCCAGGGACTCCAGCCAGGGCCCATCGTGAGAGGGCCTTTGCAAACCAAACTTGCAGTGGGTTAGCACCTCCAGCCTGACCGCTAACCCTAACCACTGCAGCCAGACCTCTCTCCTCCTCCTCCTCCTCCTCAGAGAAAGAAGCAACCTGCTTGGCAAAAGCAAGTGCCTCTAGCAACCAAGTGTGCCACTCCAGGCATCAGGGAGGCAGGAGCGGCCCGTGGAGGCCCCACCAGTCCAGGGACCTCGCTGTGCAGTGCAGACGCTGACCGCCAGGCCGACCCCACCAGAGCCACAGGGAGCCAGGCTGTACTCTGAGCCTCCGGGAAGAAGAGGCCTGGTTCTGCATGCTAGGGTCGGGTCGGGGTGGCACAAGGACTCACCCGATGTCATCGCGGTAGACCCGGGAGATGAGCACCTCCCCTTTGTGATTGTAGATGAACAGCCCTCCGATCATGGCGGCAGCTCAGTCTCCGCAGCCCATCGCTGTGAGAACAGACCTGGGGCAGGTGGGGGCGGCGTCAGGGCAGACCGCGGACCCCCAGCAGGGCCCGTGAGGCGGTGCAGTTCACGGGGCTTTTGTCCTGACTCAAGCCCATCAGTCAGTGACCCTGCAGCCCTCCCTGCCGGCCCCTCCCCTTGGCCAGGCTCCAGTTCCGGTTTAGCTGGAACTGGAAAGGAGCTAAAAACTCTGAAGGCCTTGAGCCCGGGATTCTCTGGTCGCTTTGGCCCTCCCTTTTCGGGGGCTGGGCCCAGAGCTCGCCCTTCCCCCCCCTCCCAAGCCCTCTTCCTGGCACTGAGCTCAGCTGGGATCCCCATCGGCCCCCTCCCTGCAGACTCACTCAGGGAGCCACGGAAGGCCTGCCCCCTTGCTAGAGGCTGCAGGAATGGCGGTAGGAATTACTCCAGATGGCTCAGGCCTGGGGCCCCAAGCCCGGCCTTGGAATGCTCAGTCTCAGGTCCACTACCCTTCTGGGAAGCGAGCAGGCCTGAACTCTGGATTCGCAGAAGCCTTAACATTCCAGGAAAGCGCGGGCAGAGTGGGGGAAGGGGGAGAGCAGGGCGACCTGGCCTCTGGCTCTGACATGGATCCAGAGTGGCCGACCCCCCACCCCCACCGGGCAGTCAGATAAACAGGCGAAGGAGCAGAGAGGAAAGGCCTGAGCTCAGACCTGGCAGATTACACGTCAGTGACACGTCAGCTGCTAATGAGTCCTGCTGCCCCTTTCAGGAGTCCCCAGGGTAATGGCAAGGAGAAGGAGGTGCCATTGCCACACATCCCCACCCTACAGGACGGAGTAGAACTGCCCTGGGGTTTTCGGAGACGGTAAATCCTTAGGGGGAGCAGAGAGCCTCATCTTTCTCCGGTGGAGACACTGGGGGTTCAAACCGCTGACCTTGCGGGTTCGTAACCCCAGCACTTAGGGGTGCTATTTGTACACTTCTGGCATTTATTTGCATTTGTCTCCTTTCGGGTAGCAACTCGGTGATTCCAGACCCACCAACCTCACTCCTGTCTGGCCCAAGTGCCTACAATAGGGGGACAGGCATAGCAACATGCCTGAATTATTTGGGTCATATGATTTTAGGCTAAGAGGAGAAAAAGGGTTCATTTGGCTCTACAGGTCCTGGATCGGCTCTGGTTCTAATTTCACAGGGGAGACTTCGGCAGGCTTCTCTAAAATGAAACAAAGAAGAACGAAGCCTTTGTCTTATTTAAATTAAAATAAATAAATAAGGCCTCCTGGCCCTCCTGAGGCGTCCCAGGGTGGTGAGCACTTCCCAGCCGGGTCTGAAGAGGCTGGGCGAGGGATGGGACACGGCAGTGGAGTCCTGGGCACAGAACCCGGGCCTCAGGGATCAAGTGGACGTGGCTTCGGGCACCGGAGAAGGGCCGTGGGGCGCCGGGCAGGGACGGGGTATTCGGTGAAGGGGAAAGGTCGGCGGCAGCCGCAGCCATTCTCCGTCCCCCAGAGCAGCAAGCACAGCGTGGGGTGGGGTGGGGGTCGGAGAGGAAGAGTGGCCGGGCTGGTAAAGGCATCTAGGCTCTGGGGGCGGCTGGCAGGGGGAGAGGCTGGCAGTGGCCAAGGTAGGGTGGGGAGGCCGGGAAGGCGGAGGAAGCCTTGGATCTCGGTGCCAAGGCACGAAGGGCTGGTGGGCTTTTGCCCCTCGCGAGGGGGGCGCGGCGGAAAAGACGGCGCCACGGGGGATGTGCCAGGTCTGAGGGCTCGGGGCCACGGGGTGTCAATGAAGTGTGGGCGAAAAGGGGGTGCGGCGGGGGCAAGGCCGGTCACAGTCCAGGCAGCCGCACAGTGGGGTGTCACTAGCCTGGCGAACGAAGGGACGTGTCCTTGCACTGAGAGAAGGGAGCCAGGGGCGGGGAGGGGGGGGGTCACGGCCCTAGGGGGCCGAGCGCCGCGAGGTGCCCAGCTCTGGAGGGTTCTAGTAGGGATTCCTTTCAGGAGGTGCCAGGAGGCTCAGGGGGAGGGCATCGCTCCCCGCTCTCCTGAGGCCGCGCCCCGGCGCCTCCGCCCTGCCCTCAGCTCCCTCCCGGGTGTGAAGACTGAGGAGGCCACTCCGGGTGTGGGCAGCCTTCCGCGTAGCTCAGTGCAGGGAAGAGCAAAGCCGGGCGGCGGGGCGGCCACCCTCGGCGTCCTCCCCGACCCCGTAAAGCCAGACCCCGAGCTCACCTGGTGTCCGCGGCACCCTTCTCGGCCGGGCCACTCTCGGGATCCCAAGATGTCCGCCCGCCCCCTGCTAGCCCGCTCGCCGCCTCGGCTTTCACTGCAGTGTCTCGGCCCCGCCCCGGCCCCAGCTGCGCGTGCGCACTCCCGCCGCCACCGCGCAGACTACAAATCCCGTCAGGCCGCTTGACCGTCTCGCTTCCGGTTGTATGCGCTCTGTTTACTAAAACTACAATTACCGACGGCCTTTGGGAGTCGCCCTCGCCTTCCGGGGACTGGCGTGGCTTATCCCGTCACGCCTTAAATACACATCCCAGCATACGCTGCTTCTTCTCGCCGTCCTATTGTCTGCACCGGGCATTCGGGGAATTGTAGTCTCTGCACGCGCTCCAGGGCCTGCTGTAAGTGTTTTGGATACGTTCAGTGGCTTAGTGACATTTTGTTGAATTCCATCTGTTAAAACTTGGACGGCCTTGGCCTCTTCTGTCTCCAGAGTCGAGGACTGGCTGTTCTTTCTTGACTCACAAACACACAACTTGGCAGAAGCGTTTGCGCTTTCTAGTACCTCTCCACTGCTTCTCACAAACTTTTTTCATTATATATTTATTCCAGCCATGAGTTTCCCAGGGACCAAAACCCAGGAAGGGATATGGGAGAGGGAAGAGACAAATACTTGGAGGAAATTAACCAAAGTTGTTTGTTTTTTTATGAACGTGCCTCTGTTCTGTTTCACCGAGAAGCTATTTGCCTTCAAGTGACAAGACAGGTTGCTTAGAAGATGCTTGGCGAGTTTAATTTTACTGGCGATGGGATTTGGAAGCCCATCTCTGATGAACAGTTCAGCTTCACATCCAAGCTGAGAGGAGGGTCCAGAGCCAACTTTCCAACATGAAAAGCCTGCTTGGCTTTTGGAAAACATGTATGGGCTCTTGTCCATCTGTCGGCAGAGATGTTCTGCTGCCTTCTCTGGGCAGGGCTGCACCAGTCCTGGGAGGAGGGGCAACAAAGAGCAAACCTGGTTGCAAATCCTACTATCCCCAGCTACCTCCTGCCAGAGCCAGAGTGTGGCAGGAGGAAGTCAGCCTGAAGTCAGGAGGTGATGGGATACTCAAGGTTTGACCCCTGCCTCTCAAAAAATGGACCCCAACTCATAGCGAGCGACCCTGCAGGACAGAGTAGAAGTGGCCCTATCGTTTCCAAGGCTGTAAATCTTTACAGAAGACTGGCACATCTTCCTCCAGAGCAGCTGGTGGCTTTGAACCACTGACCTGTGGGGTTAGCGGCAGAGTGCTTTAACCACCGTGTCACCAGGGCTCCTAAGACATATCCTAAACTACTGTCAATTTAGACTAAATAATAATAGTAATAGTAATTACAATAATAGCTACCATTTATTGAGCACCTACTCTACTGTGTGCCAGGCTCTGTGCTAGGCACTTTTCGTACAATATCTAATTTAAATCCTCACAACAACCCTGTGAGGTAGGTATTATTATTGTCATCTTACATACAAGGGAACTGAGGACCCAGAGAGTTTAAACTCTCCTGGAATCACTCAACCCACAAGTAGTAGAGCTGGAATTCAAACCAGAACCACCGGACTTCAAATCCCAGGCTCCAAAGAGGAAGGGAGAGGAACGGCTAACTTCCAGAACAGCTGTTGGAGCGGAATGGATGGGATAGGCTGACTGGTAGGGCATGGGGGTTTGAACTCGTAAATGTCTCTAGCTTGGTAGCCTGTGCAGACTGTGGAAGTAACCAGGATTGGAATTCAGGAGGGACACAATTTGTATGAGATGATGTGTCGACATGACAGGGATGTGCCTGTGGAAATGTCCCGTGGGAAATAAAAATACCGACCGAAAGATGCGTGGGAGAAAATCAGAGCAGTGACAACTGAAGCCATGATGCTGAGTGAGGCCCAGGGGTGGGATTCAGCTGGTTTCCACAGAACTCCTACCTTGTTTTCGGCTGAGTTCAGAGAACCGGTGGTTAAAATGGCTTCTCTCCAAGGTGGGCAACCAGGCAGCCGCCCAATGTGGAAATCACAAATGGACATCTCATACTGTTTTAACGCGTACCTTTTATTGTTCTTATTTCAGTATTATCTGCATGAGACAATAGACTACCTTCTGGTGTATCATTTTTTAGTACTAAAAACGGTTCATTAGAGCAGTGAACCTGTTAAATTATTTGAATCCCACCACTGGGAAGGCCATTTTGGGGTCTTCCAAAGAAACAGAAGTGGGCCGGAGATGGAATGCCGGGGCAGGGGTAAGGTGGCGGGGGGGACCAACATGGAAGGCATGAGCAACAGTGGAGCAATCCTCCAGAAAGTTGGACAAGCAGAGCCAGAGAGGGCTGAGATGTACGGGACAAAGCCCTGCAGTGGTGGTGCCTCGGGAAAGCGCCAGGGCTGAGTGGGGAGCAAGCCCAGACCTCCCAGAAGGGGACACCATGGACACACTTCAGCACAGCCTCCCATTTACCCACACCCCAGAAGTATTAGCTAACTCAATGAATGCCAAAATGTCCAGGCTTGGAACTAAGGGATTTACCTTACCCTTGATACCTCAGTCCGGAAACGATGAGAACCTTAGTGACTTAGGTAAAACATGATAACAGTCATGATTTTTTTCCTTTTAAAGCGAAGAACCAGGTTTAAAAAACAAAAGCAAACAACGAAAAAAACACCTGGCACTGTCTGGAAGCTCTAGGGATCCCCTGCCAAACCTCAACAGCCCTGTGAACTCCTGTGTCCCACTCTGGAATACAGTGGAAAAGGTGGAAACGGGAGGGTGGGGTGTGGAAGAGGGGATGAGAATGTCCAATGCTGGTTGCTTGAGAAGTCTTCTGCTGAGCCCAGCGTACAGGCTGTACTTGTATTTGAGGACAAGTGTGAAAGACTGGAGAACTCTGAGGAAGAAGAGGAAGACAGGGGACCTGCCCCATAAGCTGACTAATCGAGAGGGGTCCAGCCCTTGGCGAGGGACCAGCCCTGAGTCTAAGTGAACTTGCATAGGCACTGTGTGTGTGTGTGTGTGAGAGAGAGAGAGAGAGAGAAAGAGAGGCAGGGTGTACTACCTCTGGAGAGGGGACCAGAGTCTCCCTGCCTGGGCGTGCTGCTGGGGCCAGCGGCAGGAAGCCTAGTGTTTCAACATGCTGACGTATAGTGGGGGGGCTAGGTATCCTCCAGGAGCCCCGAGGGGCTGTTGAAGCAGGCTTCCTGGTCTCCTCGGAGGCTGGGCCTCCCCTTGCTCACAGAAAGTCAAACAGCCCGAAATTCTTGGCTGCTCCAGGCCCAGGAAAAAAATGGGGAAGGAAAAAAGAAAAGAGATGTTTCAGGCCCAGAGGTGAGATGAGCCTGCTCGTTAGTAGGGTTAGGGGCCTGAAGGAGCCAGCACACAGGCCAGACATGGCAAGGAGGGGCTCGGGTGGGGGTGGGGGTGGGGGTGGAGTAGAGAAGAGATGCTTCCGGGGACCAGCTAGCAGCTCAGGCGGCGCGGGGGCTCTCTGTGTTTTGGGTCAGGGCTGGGCACAGGCAGGGGGCATGGATGGACGGTTACTGGAGGTGGCTGCGGCTCTGGGAGGCGGGCCGGGGCGACATTCAGGGGCAGGAGAGCAAGGTTGCAGGACAAAGTCTAGCGGGTTGCACACATGCGTGAGGGGCAGGTTAGCAGGGATGGTCAACCGAAGGGAAGGGAGGGGCCTCCAAGGTGACTGTTCCATTTAGTTCCCAACATGTGTGGGCAGGGCTGGGCCGGGGACAAGTAAGGGTGGCACAACAAGCCTGGTCCCCTGAGACAGCAGCGCGGGGCCCCGAAGGGTCCTGGGAAGCCCTGCATAGCAGTTAGTGGGCAGAGGGCACAAGGCAGGGCAGGAGGCAAGTTAGGGGTTGCAGAACCAAGTGGCAGGTCTGCCCTGCCCTCAGTGCACCCCTCCAGCAGTTAGCGCGCCTGGATTTAGTTCTGTTTATTTCCCTTTCAGGTACCAGACAAAGTAAAAAAAGACGGATGGCGAGAGGGACGCAGGCGGCCAGGGCGGGGATGGGACAGAGGTGGGGGGGGCCCTGCTCACATCACATCCACAAAGAACTCACTGGGGTTTCCCATGGCCATGCGGAAGGACTGTCTGCTGGCGGTCAGTTCGGGGGGCACCGAGGCCAGGTCGCGGCCTGGAGGGGCCCCGGGGGGCCCCATGGCCGCAGGCGGCGGGGGCATCATCAGCACCGGGGGCCCGTAGAGCGGGGGCACACCGGGGGGGCCATAGCTCGGGTGCTTGTGGTGGCTGCGCAGGCTGCTGGCCAGCGAGTGGTGACTGCGGTGGCTGTGCTCGCTGGCCGCTGGGCCCGAGCGCTCGCTGGCCGCTCGATCACGGGGCCCCCGCAGGCTGCTCCGCGTCGTGTGGTCCGACTCGCTGCCGCTGCCCCCAGACTTGGAGTCCCCTGCCTTGGGGTCCTTCTCCTTCCGCCGGTCGCTGCCGCTGCGGTTGGAGCCACTACTCCGGCTGCCTGTGGGATGACGGGGTGGGGACACACACTCAGAGCTGGCCAGAGCCCGCCCCTGCCCCTCCTCTCTGGCCCCCTCCGACTTACCTTCACTGTGCTGGCTACTGGCGCTGCCCCCGGCGTAGCTGTACCCCAGCTCTGGGAAGCCGGGGTGTGGGTTGTAGGGGTGCGGGGGCGGCGGGTACTGGTAAGGGAAGGCCATGGGCCAAGGAGCGGCCCCGGGGTGGGGCAGAGGGGCCAGCGTGTCCTGGTCAGAGGCACCGCTGGAGCCGTCGTGGTCGTGGAGGGACAGGTTGGCCATATCTGTGTGGGGAGGCGAACCTGGCTGAGTTGGTCTGATGGGCGACACCATGCTCAGGCAGGAGGCCAGAGGGGGTCCCGAGCCCACAGCAAGTGGGTGCCAACAGCAGCGACAGTTTCTGGTCAGTGGGAGGAGCCACAGAGCGGCGACCCGAGCCCTCTTTCAGACCCTCTACCACCCACCCGAAACAGCCCCGGGGACCCTCCTCAGGGAGATCCCAAGCCACCGCTCCACATTTAGAACTCCCAATCCGTGGGAGGCCCCCAGCCAGACTTCCGGCAGTTCGGTGTCCCGGTGTCCCTGCTCGGTGGGCGGAGGAGAGGGTCAAAATCCTCTCTCTGGAAACACTAGACCAGACCAAACCCAATCCACTGCTAACAAGTTGATTCAGACTCAGATGGACCAAGGTCAGGCTTCCCTGTAGGTAAATCTTCACGGGATTCTGATGGCCTCCGCTTTCTCTCAGGGAGCCGCTTGATGGGCTGGAACCCCTGACCATTGGTTAGCAACCCATGGCCAGGCCTGCCACTCTGACTCATACCAAGGTCGATGGAGGGGAAGCACCCCAGGGAAGGTTGCCCAGCCTACAGAACTTTGGGGGAGCATCTTTCACCCACAGAACACAGCTCGTGGGTTTGAACTGTCAACCTTCCCATGAGCTGTGGAACGCTTAACGTACTGCCAGGCTTCTTCTCAGGTAGTCTGCAGACTGCCATCCTGAGGACAACAGCTGCCTACTCTCAGCTAACACAGCTGGGGCAGAGAGAAGGGAGAAGCCTGTTCTGTTAGCACCAGGAACTGGGCCTCTGGTGTCCTCTGTCTATGGGTGAGAGATGCAGGAGTCCCCAGAGAAAGAACCAGGTCTCCTGAGCAAAAACCACAGCTATGTGTGACCCTGGATCCTTTGGGCCAAGGTTGAATTCTGCAGTGATAATGTCAATCATAACAACCATGTGCCATGGAATCTAAAATGCCACTGATTAAAGATGCATCCCAACGTTACATGAAACATGTACTGAAACGTGAGAACAAAGGAAAAAAGAATCCATCTTAGAATCAATTAAATACAGACTCAACCCTCTGCTTTTCTAGCCCACTTGTTGTGGACTAACCAGTGCTAGGAGCATGATGATACTATCTTCTATCATTCTCAAGACAGCCCCAGGGCTAGTTCCACGCTTCCCTCCATCTCACAGATCAAGGCAAAGAGACACTGAGAGGCTGGGTCACTTGCCCTTGACCACATAGTAAGCATAGAATTAAGACTCTCAACTGTCTAACTCTCAACTCCTCTAAATCATCAGTACTCCATGGAGCATACTGGACGTTTTATGAGCCAGGGGCCTTTCATCCAGGGAATTATGACCCTCGGGAACAGCCATTCGAATCCCTAGAACTTAAGTGAAGCATTTCAAGAGTTAATCTTTGGAGCTAAAGCACAATCAAGATCATGAAAAAACAAAAAGGAGGGAGGGATGCAGGTGGTGGTGGTGAAGGGTTAAGAACCTAAGAGAAGCTCCCTCAAAGCAGAGGTGGCTGATGCAGTGGCCCTCGGTTTCCAGCCTGGGCACAGCTGTCTGTCTTTGAGGACGCTGCGCCCCCAATGCTGCCTGCAGGCTCAGAAGGAAAAGAGGTTCCCTACAGGCTCCCCTGTCTGAAGAGCTCTCACGGGCTATGCATCCCCTAAGGACCAAGTCCAAATCCCTTGGTTTGGCTGGCAGGGTCCTCAGCAACCTGGCGCTAACAGCTTCTCTTTTCTGTCCTGGGCACTACCCACCCCCTCGAAATAGTGCCCTGGGCCCTGCCCTGATGGAACCTGGTTGGGGCCAATGGTAGGTACTGTCTCAGCCAGTTGAGACAATGCTTTCTTTAGCATCAGGTACGTGAAGGGGTGGGGGTGGGGGGCGGGAGGTGATGGAGAGGGCAGGTGTGGGTGTTGGGAAGAACAAAGGCTCTGTGACCTGGAAGAGCAGGATGGCGGGCCCAGCTCTGCGGCTCCTGTCTGTGAAACCCGGGTGGACAATGGAACATCTACAAGTCCCGGGGCGTTGACTTCTCCTCTAGGGAGAAGGTGGTGGGGCGTATTGAGTCAGTGCTTTAGAAACCACCCGCACGGAGTCAGACACAGAGCAGGCTCTTAGCAAGCTCTAGGTTCACTAGGGGGCCACCGGGTAGGCAAGAGAAAGGACACAGAGGTGGGAGAGGCACGTACTGCCGCAGAGGTCACCGAAAATGTAGTAGCATTGCTCGGAGAAGGTGATCTTGTTGACAGTGTGGCGGATGAAGCCGGCTTTCAGCAGGTTGCTGGCGTACTTGCGGGCCTCCCGCCGGTCTGTGAAGCCTTCCACGTTGTGGTACAGCCAGTCCACCACATCTGAGCCTGGGGGTAAGGCTGCCACTTAGAGAGGCCACCCCCACCCCAGCTTGGGTTTGTTGGGCCTCACAGAAGCCAGCAGTCTGGAGCTGGTTCTGGCTCAAAGGAGCAGTCCCTAGGCCTGGGCACCTCTCACCCTTCCCCCCTCTGCCATTCCCCCTCGAGGGGGCCTGCTCACCAATGAAAGCATTGGGGATGGTGATCTTGAGCCACATGCGGTCCCGGACCTCCAGACCAGATTCTGGGGAGGCCATGGCTTTGACGATGGCAGCCATGTCACTGTGGATGGACAGGTGGAAGTCCTCTAGGCCTGGGGGACGGGAGGCACAATGGTGAAGCCGAAGGCGGCTTTGGGGGCGTGCATTCCAACTCTTCTGCCTACAAATGATGGGACCGAGGCTGGGCAAGGGGCTGGCCTCTTGAACACTCGGTTCCCTTCCATCCAAATGGGGACCTTCACATCTGCTTCACAAGATGTTTGATGAGAGGATTGAAGGAGCTAAGAGAAGGTGCTTGTAACGTGTGGGTTATGAGAACCTATAATGTGTGCATTATGACAATAAAAAAGGGACCCATTCATTGACCTTGCTTTCTGACATACGCTGTTATTCTTTCATCAAACCTCAGAGGAGCCTGGTAAAGGGCGGGCCATTAGTCTCTTTTACAAGAGGAAACGGAGGCTCCCCAGGTTCTCACAAGTCTAGAAGCTCTCATTTCCTAGTGAGGGATGTGGGGTGCACACAGGGGGAAAGGGCCATGTGAGGTAGCTGGGATGAGCTCCCAACACTCCAGCAAGAGCCTCCATTCCATCTCTCCCATGGAGCCCTGCCTGCAAGGAGCCCTGGTGGAGCTGTGGGCTGCGAGCTTGGTTGCTAACCACAAGGTCACACAAGGTCAGTGCTTCAAACCCACTAGCTGCTCTGCAAGAGAAAGACGGGACTTTCTGCTCCCGACCAGAGCTAACAGCTTAGGAAACCCACAGGGACACTCCTACCCTGCCCCTATGCGTCGGAACTGACTCAATGCCAGCGAGGGGAGTTTGGCCTTGCCCGCTGGACACTCACGTTCAGTGTCAGGGATGGAGCTGGTGATGGAGGAGCTGGTGGAGGTGATGGTGCTCAGGGAGGGGCTCATGCCATAGGCAGGAAAGGTACCAGTCATGGCCGCCGTGTGGGAGACCCAGGCCGCGGGGTCGATGGGCCGGATCGGCTCACCTGTGGAAAGTGTGAGGAGTCACCAGCTGCTCACCTTGCCCATACTGGGGCCCAACAGAGTGGGTGAGGGGGCTCAGGGTGACGTAGCAGAAAGGAGAGACAGGGCTCACGTGTGCAGACACCAACTCTGACTTTAGGGGCGAGTGCCCCAGCCACTTACTCCTGGGCAGTGTGAAACAGCCGCGTGGACTTGGGTCCCAGCACTTGGCTACAGTCAGGGTGATGGGCCTGAAAGCAAGGGTGTCCCTAGTGAGGGCAGAAGCTGTGGGAGCCCACGCCCCTCGCCTGGTAGCCAGCAATGCCTGTGCACCCCCCTCCTCGATGGCCCGGCCCATCTGTACCCTGGCTTGTGCACAATCTCCCGTAACACCCGGACAGCATCATCATTGCTCATGTTCTCAAAGTTGATCTCGTTGACCTGGGGAAGATGGTAGAAGGAGGATATGCAGTGGGGCTTGGTGGAGGAGTCTTCTGCTCATCGAGGAGGGGCTCTGCCTGAGCAGGGGAACAGGGTGGGGACACTCCCCATGCACCCCACCATTCAGTGTGGGCCCTGGTACCTGTAACAGCATGTCTCCTGGCTCAATACGGCCATCAGCAGCGACGGCCCCACCCTTCATGATGGAGCCGATGTAGATGCCCCCGTCACCACGCTCGTTGCTCTGGCCCACGATGGAGATGCCCAGGAAGTTATACTTCTCTGCAAGTAGTAACAAGGCCTTGAGAGGGATGCACAGTTCTGGCCCAAACACCCATCTCCTTATGAGAAAATAAGGTTGCTATAGTACAGGGTCGCTATGAGTGGGAATTAACTTGATGGCAGTGTGTGTGTGTGTGTGTGTGTGTTTCTGGTCTATTAGGAAAACAGGAGCCCTGGTGGTGTAGTAGCTATGCGGTTGGGCTATGATCCAAAAGGTTAGCAGTTTGAAACTACCAGCCACTCCGAGGGAGAAAGACAGGGCTTTCTACTCCCTTAAAGAGTTACTGTCTCCGAAACTCACAGGCAGTTCTACCCTGTCCTACAGGGTCACTATGATTCACTGCCGTCGAGGTGATGGCAGTGAGTCTGGTTTGGGCTTTACTGTAAAAGGGACAAGAACTGACATCGGCTGAACAGGCACCCAGTTTAGCATGCTCAAACATACTTCTATTTCAACAGCTTTCCACTTTCATCCTGCTTTAGAGAGCAGACAACAGAGGTTCGGAGACTTAAAGTAACTCTTCTAAGTTACCAAGTAGCAAAACTAAGCGTCAAACTCAGCTGTACATTCCCGAGTTGGGGCTCTTTCCACCAGGCCAACTGTCTCATCAGAGAACATCTAAGACAGAAATCAGAGGACAGAGATGGAGGGCTGAATGCTAAGAAGGTGGTGGTGTGCTGTGACACACTCAGGGATCACTGCCTCCAGGAAGCCCTCCCTCATGCCCTTCTCTGCTGCCACAGCTCTGTCCCTACCTGTCATAGCACTGACCCTGACCAAGAGACACTGGAAGGGTCAGTTGATGTTTCTTTAAGACTGGTCCTTGGGGCCTGGGGACATGCCCTGGGCTTCTCCCACTCTGCACCTCAAGCCTTCCCAGGCCCCGGCGCAGAGGGAGTGCCGCTTCAGCAGACTCACCCATGTTGAGAGTGACCGTGATGATGTTGAGTGACATGGTGGAGTCCGTGATACTGCTGAAGGACGAGGACTGGAACAGACAGAGGCCCTGAGTAGCAGGCAGGGGCTGCAGGGGCGCACTGTTCCCGCCTAGCACCTCAAGGTCCCCACCCTCCTCCACTGAAACAAGAGGGCAAGATGTCGGCGAGGACAGGACGCGCCCTGGCCTCACCGGGGCTGGGCCCACAGCTTGCCCACTCCCACCCCATCCAGCTCCAGCAGCCCTGGCCCCATACCCGCTCGATCCGGGACACCTTCTGCTTCCGCCGCCGCCGCTTGTGTCTTCTCATCAGGCGCGACGCACTGCTCTGCTCTGTGGAGCTGCTGAACCTATGGGGCCCACAGTCGTTCCCCACCAGACCGGCTCCACCCCGCCTGGCCCCTGAAAGACCCTTCCGGGCCCAGGGCCCCAGGACACAACCCACCTCCCTTCCAGGGACCGGGCCTCCTCTGGGGCCCCTCCACCCACAGTGCCCATGAAACTCAAGCCCACCTGCTCGTGGAGTCATCCTCATCCGAGTCAAAGAAGCTGGTGGTCTCCAACTCGCTGCTCATGAGGGTGGAGGCGCTGTCGTAACCCCCGGGCTCTCGCCGCCGCTCCCCCTTGGAAGTTCCGTTTACCCGGGTTGCTGCAGGGGTGCAGGTGGCTGGGTTCACACAGGGCCCGACGCCGGAGGGAAGGGAGGGGGTGGGCAGGCCTGGGGCGGCAAGAGGGCATGGCGCAGGCGGTCGGGCAGAGCGTGGGAGCTGAGAGGAAGCCAGTGTGGGGAGACGGGGAGCTCGGGGAAGACCCACTGTGCTCTGGGCCGTCCCTCCGGCGAGGCCGCTCCCTCTGGGCGGACACCAAGGAGTCCGTTTCTGTGTCGTTGTCCAGGTTCTCCTGGCTGCCCCCACCAGCATGAGGGCTGCACGGAGGAGAGGACTTGGTGGAGGAGGGGGCGGGCTGGGGGGGTACCTCCCCCAGCCCTGGTCTGAGCTGACCAGGCCCTCCCCTCTGGGTCCTGGCCACCCCAGCTCACACTCACTGGAAGGAGGGGGGCCGGGAGTCCCCGATGCCTCCCGTGCGCTCCATGGGGGGTGGAAGCTCCGCAGGGTTGTCAGCACAGAATGGGGCTGGCTCTGGGTGCGGGCCCTCCGCGGACACCAACTGTTGGGGGGGGGGATGGGGGAGAGGATGACCAAGGGTGGGGGTGTAGAGGAAGGGGAAGTGTGGGCTTCTGGCTGGGCAGGAGGGCCACCCGGAGAGAAAGCAGCAGGGAGCGCTGAGGGTGAAGAGACAGGGGCCTCTTCCTGGGCTGGTGAGTGGGATGGGGTGGGAACAAGGGCCAGGGCTCCAAGGCAGGGACGGGCAGGTGCCCCTCTGTGCGTTTCTGACTCTCCATTTCCCCCTCCCACTCTTCCTCACTGCTGTGGCGTCTGGGGGACAAAGATGGGGCTCGCTACTCCCGTGCAGAGTGACAGTCTTGGAAACCCACAGGGGCAGCTCTACCGCGCCATGAGTGGGAAAGGGGGAGTGGAAGCCAAGGGGGTGGGGTTAGAAAAGAAAAGGAAGAGTGGGAGACGAAGCAGAGCCCCACCCAGGATGCAGCCACCATCTCGGCTACCCTCCCCGCTCCCGCCCTGGGGATGCAGGCCGGAGAGCTCCTTACCCAGGACACCACCCGGCCATTGAAGCAGGGCAACTTGGCATTGTCATCAGAGATCTCCTCCTTCACCACTCTGTGGGGAGGGCAGGGGCGGGGAGGGGCAGGCCAGGTGTCAGAGAGAGCTTTCCGGGGTGGAAACGGAAGTGTCTTCACCATCCCAATTACCAGGGGCTCCTGCACCCCAAACTGGGCATCAAACCAGTAGCATCAGCCTAGTCATACAGGAGGAGTGAGGGTGAACCCACGGCTCTGCAGCGTCACCAGTAAAACCCAACTCTGCCCAGGCCCGTTGCTTGCTGGCCCTCCCCTGAGTCATCAGGTGGCAGCAAATTGCTGTTCTCCGGGAGTGTGCACACACCCTGGGATCTCCGGGGTGGGGGCTGTGCTACTCCCCATCATGTCTCTCCTGGACTCTCTCTTCCCCGGATCCCCCCAAAGCACACTGCTATCGCAGTCCTGCCTTTCCCACTGAGGCAGGAATCCTGATATTCTCCTGAGCGGTGTGGACGAGGCGCTTGGGGAAGGGAAGGGGAGGGGAGAAGGCATTTATGGGGCTCGAGTAAGGACGACTGACGGCTCTCCTTGGTTAGGATGTATTAGGGGCCTAGCACGCTGCTGAGCCCCTTGCTTGTCTTAGTTCATTCAGAAGGCCCAGGAGTGCTACAAGGTAAGGACAATGGGGGAGACAAAAGCCCAGTACCTCACGTCACACCGCTAGTCAGTGAAGAGCTGGAAGTGGAATCCTGGTCAGCCTGACTCCACAGCCAGGTGCTTACCTATTACATCATCTCATCTCCAGAGCTTTGTGATAAGGGATAACGTGCGTGGCGACCTCATGAAGTTAAAGCTATCATCTGCATTTTACAAAGAAGTAGACTCTTTAGAAACTCATCTAAGGTCAGAGAGTCAGAAGATGGGGAGCTGGAATTCAACCCTGGGTTTTTCTGATTCCAAACTCAGACTCTTCTCAGGTGTCTCAGTCTCTCCTAAGAGATGACGGGCTGAGGTGGAGTGGGGGCCGTGTGGCGCGTGCGGGGTGATGGGAAGTGGCTTGCAGTCATGGGCATGTGATTTGGACAGGGCATACATTACGACAAGAAATCCAACACAGATGATGGCTGGGGCTTGAGGACCCCCGCCTGTGTCAGATACCCTGCCTGTACTCCTGTACAGAGCGGAGTCATGGCCATGGGTCAGGGGGTGGCCTGCATGCGTCTGAGTTCTGAGCTGAGCAGGCAGAGGAAGGTGGCTGGGGAAAGCAGTTCTCCAGCTCTGGGAGCAGCATCTGCCCAGAGCTGGGAATGTGCCTGGCTCTCCCTGGGATGCTCATGTTCTTGGGACGCCTGGCCAAGCTCACAGGCTGAGGCTGCCTCCTACCCAATTCTGGCTCTTCCTCCATTCCCAAGCTCATCTTGACCCAAAGGAAGCAGCCCAAACCACCGTGCTCAGGACCAGCCTAGGAGCTGGCTCAGCCCGCCAGCCACCAGGGTGGCCATTGGGTCTCCCAAGTTTGCAGGCTGTCCATGGGAATCAGGGCTCGAGACAGAGAGACAGAGAGAGAGAGAGAGAGAGAGAGAGAGAAAGAGGTCACATGGCAGAACTGGCTTCGTGACCTGCTCTGGAAAGGGTCTCACTGAGGTGGGTACTTCTACCTTCTACCAAGTTCCCACCACATAGCAAACAGGTTACAGATGTTGGCACTCATTCTGGGGATCACTGGCAGGTTGTCAAGGCTCTGCTGACTCACAGCGATCAGCTGGCCAGGCCCCCTGGGGGGTCTTCAAACAGGCCTCAGTCTCTGTCAGGGAGCTGGATGGTTCAGGTTCCCACCGCACTGACTCGACCTCCAACCCCACCCTGACTCCCACATGCACCCTCCCAAGTGGAACTGGGCAGATCTGGGTTCAAATTCCAATCCTGCCGTTTATTAGCCTTTCATCTTCCAGCGGCTCCTTATCTTTCCCAAGCCTTTGTCTTCTCCTAATGAATGAGTCACCGAGGCCGGCACAAGCCAGGCTTATACTGTACTAATACCAGCTATGCACACCCCCCTTCATCCCATCGCACTCCCCACCCTGTATGGTGGGGTCCATAGTCTCTTTCTAACTAGAGGCAGAATTTAAGGGCGAGCATTTCTTCAGCGCACCATTCCTTCTTCCCAGCAGGAGAGAACTCTGCCAGTGCTGGGCAGGATGTAGGGGGGGGGGGGGCCCTGCCCAGGGGTCCCAAGAAGGACCCGCCCTGCAGCCTGCTGCCTTTCCTTGCTGGGGCTGCAAGCTAGTGGCTGTGAGTTCGTGTGAGGCGCTTGCGAGTGGGAAGCGGGAAAACCTGTCCCAGCGGCAGATCTATTTCCTGGACAGACAGCTGCTAAGTGGCACTTAGGTGGCAGGTGCTGGTAAGAGCTGGGTAGGTGTGTGAGACTAGACAGGATCAAGCCTCATGAGAGTTCTCATGGGCAAGGTCGGTGGAAAGGACAGGGAAATTTGGACCTAGACAAAGAATGGCCCCGAAGAGGAAGCAGCACCATTAGGGGCTGGTTTCCCAGGTGGCTGCCTAACTTAGCTCAAGGCCACACTCACAGTGGGCACCTCGTCCTTCCATCTGCTATCTCCTCAGCACTGACTTAAGTGCTCATCCATCTTCCAAATCACTGAGCTTGACCAAAGCTCTGGAGAGCAGATGGGAGCTGGGGAACCCTGAGGCCTCTCGGAGTGAACCTTGCAGGCACAGGAAGAGACTGGGAGCAGACTTTCCACGCTGACTCCCTTTCCCATTTGTCAGCAGGTAAGTGACAGCCCTACCACATCTCCCCTGGGACGGATGCATCTGTAAAATGGGGACGGTAATCATAGTAATTGTGTGCTTAAGGCCACAGACTTTGGAGCCAGGTGCCTGACATGGAATCACATTCTGCTGTCACTTAACAGCGGTGTGACTTTGGACAAGTTACTGAATTTACCCAGCTTCCTTGCCTTGTTACAGCAAGGGTGCAAGGGGCCCTGGTGGTGTAGTGGTTACCCATTGGGTTACAAATTGGGTTACGCATTGTTAACCACAATACTACGCATTGTTAACTAGCAATAAGTACGAACAATACTACGCATTGTTAACTACAAGGTCCACCGTTCGAAAATGCCAACTGCTCCTTAGAAGAAAGATGAGGCTTTTGACTCCCATCAAGAGTTAGTCCTGGAAACCCACTGGGGCAGTTCTACCCTGACCTACAAGCTTGCTCTGCATTGGTACTGACTCGATGGCCGTGAGCTTGCTTTCGGAAAGCTAGAGTGTTAAGAGGATTAGATGAGTGGCGATTCAAAGAACATGCAGCCGAGGGTTTGCCACACTGCAATCTTCAGTTCATTTTGCCCTCAGAGGTAAAGACAAACTCGGTCTCATCTACTTGCTTTTCAGTGTTCTCAGCCCTGCCAAAGCAGCCTGTTCTATTTTGGAGAGAGGGGTGTGAGTACCACGCATACATGCACGATGACTTTAAGTGGTCCTTAAGTGAGCATGGATAATACATTTTAGGGGGGGAAATACAAATAGAAAATCAGGCCCGGGTGGGGGAGGAAAGGGAAAAAATGAGGAGCTGATACCAAGGGCTCAAGTAGAAAGCAAATGTTTTGAGAATGATGATGGCAACAAATGTACAAATGTGCTTGACACAATGGATGGATGGATGGATGGATGGATTGTGATGAGAGTTGTATGAGCCCCCAATAAGATTATTTTAAAAAGAAAAAGAAAATCAGGTCCATGATTTTGTACTATTAGTTGGATCAGGCTAAGAAAAACAGCGAGCTGACTGACAGTGGTTGTAGAGAAAGCTATGAAGGCAATAGCAATCCAGTGTCAGGAGGGCCCTTCTATGAGAGCAGATAGCAGCCTGGAAGACTTGGCAGGCAACTTAGAGACACGGGCTCAGGAGGCGGGGCTAGGCCCAGGAGTGAGTGGTGGGTGGAGACGCAGCCCCTCAGAGCATCTGTCCGCAGTCAACTGAACTGCACAAACCACCTCCCACATCCCCAGCCAGCCCCCTTCCACTTCGATCCCACTTCAGATTCTTCCAATCAGGGATGTGTGTCCCTGGACAGAAGCCAGAAAACCATTACCCCAGCCCTGGGGTGGAACAACAACAACAGAAACAAGATCGTTAGAATCTACAAAGGACTTTCACACACAGGAGCTGGCCGCCTCAGCACACCCGAGTTCCCGGGGTAGAGAGTGACAGCAAGGCCTTCCAAGCAGAAGACAGAAGGGGCTTGCTTTCTGCAGCCAGGAGGCTGAGGCCCCGGGAGAGCAGCCAGCCGGATGAACACTGGGGGGAGAGGAATGTCCCCCTCACTCAGCTCCCAGGAGCTGGGCAGGCCTCAGGCCAGGCTGGAGAGGCAGCCTTCAGGCCTCGAGGGCTCCAGGTGGGGAGGTCTCCCCACGGGCCCCAGGCAGGCTGGTGTGGGGGCCCCCTCCTCCCGCAGCCAGCCCAGAGTTGGGGAGGGGGTGAGGAGAAGGGCCAGGCTCCCCTTCCCAGGCCAGCTGCTGCAGAACCTTCCGGCTCCAACATTCCATCCCTTCTTAAAGGGGAAGCGCTGCTGCCAAACTCCTCCGTCCAAAGCCCTGCAGCTGGGAGGAGGGGAAGACCCTGGGGAAAGGGGGTGGGGTGGGGGGCAACCAAGACTACCAGGAGTCTCTTCCTGGATCTCTGATCTCCGGCCCTTCCCAATGTCCCCCACCCCGCTTGGCCCCCACCTGGAGGAAGAGGGCCTCACTTCAGAAGGGAGGTAAGCACCTGGGTTAGGCTGGACTCCCCACAACATCCCAGACACCCCGAGGAGGGCAGTGGAAACGGACAGCCAGGGGCTGAGCACCTCCCTGCCCCCAGCTCCAGGCCCAGAGATGCGGGATGCTCCAAATATGGCTCGGAGTTGTGGAGCTAAAAAGATGGAGAAGGGGTAGGCTCAGCGCCAAGCAACCCCAAGTCTGTGCTAAAGAAGTGGGTCCCCCCCACCCCCCGCCGGCAGTGGTTGGACTGGGGACTCGGGCTAGGAACTGGGGGTGGAGGGGCGGGTGGGGTTGGTATGGGCCGCTGATCTCCGGGGAGGTCAGGGGGCTGAATGGGCAGGGGCCAACCGCTCTTGGGGAGTTGGAATCCCCCCAAAACTAGGGTGCCTAAAGGGCGCAAGATCCCCTACAAGAGGCCAACGAGCGATCCCTTCCAGGGCTGGAACCCCAGCTTCCCAAAGCGCAGGACCCGCGGGACCGACCGTCCCGCCGGGGGTCCGGGGTCCGCTGGGGCGGGGCGGGGGTCGTCCTCACCCGAAGTCGTCGTCCATAGACTTGAAGAAGAACTTGTAGCTGGGTCTCTGCAGAACGCCCTTAAAGTCCGCCAGGGTGACGCGCTCGGCGGGCAGGGGCAGCTTCACCAGGTACGGCGTCTCCTGCCCGTCCAGGTGGTAGATGATCTTGGTCTCGCCCATGGCTCCGGCCCCGG